TAATGTAATGTAATGTAATGTATTGTAATGTAATGTAATTAATGTATGTATGTATGTATGTATGTATGTATGTATGTATGTATGTATGTATGTATGTATGTATGTATGTGATGTATGTATGTATGTATGTATGTATGTATGTATGTATGTATGTATGTATGTATGTATGTATGTATGTATGTATGTATGTAATGTATGTATGTATGTATGTAAGTAATGTAATGTAATGTAATGTAATGTAATGTAATGTAATGTAATGTAATGTAATGTAATGTAATGTAAATGTAATGTAAATGTAATGTAAATGTAATGTAATGTAATGTAATGTAATGTAATGTAATGTAATGTAATGTAATGTAATGTAATGTAATGTAATGTAATGTAATGTAATGTAATGTAATGTAATGTAATGTAATGTAATGTAATGTAATGTAATGTAATGTATGTATGTATGTAATGTAATTATGTATGTATGTATGTATGTAATGTATGTATGTATGTATGTATGTATGTATGTATGTATGTATGTATGTATGTATGTATGTATGTAATGTAATGTATGTATGTATGTATGTATGTATGTATGTATGTATGTATGTATGCATGTATGTATGTATGTATGTATGTAATGTAATGTAATGGATGTATGTATGTATGTAATGTATGTATGTATGTATGTATGTATGTATGTATGTATGTATGTATGTAAAGTAATGTATGTATGTATGTATGTATGTATGTATGTATGTATGTATGTATGTATGTATGTATGTATGTATGTATTAATGTAATTTATGTATGTATGTATGTATGTATGTATGTATGTATGTATGTATGTAATGTATGTATGTATGTATGTATGTATGTATGTATGTATGTATGTATGCTATGTTATGTATGTATGTATGTATGTATGTATGTATGTATGTATGTATGTATGTATGTATGTATGTATGTATGTATGTATGTAATGTATGTAATGTATGTATATATGTATGTATGTATAGTATGTATGTTATGGTATGTATGTATGTATGTATGTATGTATGTATGTATGTATGTATGTATGTATGTATGTATGTATGTATGTATGTATGTATGTATGTTATGTATGTTATGTATGGTATGTATGGTATGTATGTTATGTATGTTATGTATGTTATGTATGTTATGTAATGTATGTATGTATGTATGTATGTATGTATGTATGTATGTATGTATGTATGTATGTATGTATGTATGTATGTATGTATGTATGTATGTATGTATGTATGTATGTATGTATGTAATGTATGTAATGTAATGTATGTAATGTATGTATGTATGTATGTATGTATGTATGTATGTATGTATGTATGTATGTATGTATGTATGTATGTATGTATGTATGTATGTATGTATGTATGTATGTATGTATGTATGTATGTATGTATGTATGTATGTATGTATGTGTGTATGTATGTATGTATGTATGTATGTATGTATGTATGTATGTATGTATGTATGTATGTATGTATGTATGTATGTATGTATGTATGTATGTATGTATGTATGTATGTATGTATGTATGTATGTATGTATGTATGTATGTATGTATGTATGTATGTATGTATGTATGTATGTATGTATGTATGTATGTATGTATGTAATGTATGTATGTATGTATGTATGTATGTATGTATGTATGTATGTATGTATGTATGTATGTATGTATGTATGTATGTATGTATGTATGTATGTATGTATGTATGTGTTGTATGTATGTCTGTATGTATGTATGTATGTATGTATGTATGTATGTATGTATGTATGTATGTATGTATGTATGTATGTATGTATGTATGTATGTATGTATGTATGTATGTATGTATGTATGTATGTATGTATGTATGTATGTATGTATGTATGTATGTATGTATGTATGTATGTATGTATGTATGTATGTATGTATGTATGTATGTATGTATGTATGTATGTATGTATGTATGTATGTATGTATGTAATGTATGTATGTATGTATGTATGTATGTATGTATGTATGTATGTATGTATGAATGTAATGCAATGCAATGCAATGCAATGTATGTATGTAATGTATGTATGTATGTAATGTATGTATGTATGTATGTATGGATGTACGTATGTATGTATGTGTGTATGTAATGTAATGTAATGTAATGTAATGTAATGTAATGTATTGCAATGTAATGTAATGTAATGTATGTATGTATGTATGTATGTTTACTGCTCTTGTCATGTGTTTTGTTTCTTGGTTTGTTTGGTTATATACCATTTATGCCCAGAACCACGTGGTTGCTTGCGTTGCGAGTTGGTGCCCTTGTCAGGTTGGTTTCAAGGCCGAAGCCCAAATGCAAGCTACCATCTTTTTTAGGCTCCGTATCCCTTTGATCTTTTGACAGACAATTTCAGTTGAGGATGAGGCTCCCTATTCTTGACAAAACCCTATTTTAGGCTCCATCCCTATTTTGTTCTTTTTGGAGTTCAGACCCCATTATGGGGGTCGGAGGGGTTCGTCGAGGCGTCGATTTGGAAGCATCAGACGGTCCCCTCGACTTGAAGCAAGGAGAGGGAAGGCGTGGCCTACTCAAACGATCGGAAGCTGGAAACTGTTTGGTGGAGCCAAATGACCTCCAGATTTGGTCGATGTCTTGGGCCAAATGTTTGGAAGTTTGCAGTGTCAGTACCTGCCCGTAGCATTGGCCCATTCTCAGACCGTCTCGGCTTGGAGCTCAGGGATGCCACCACTTGCTCATAGCATTTGGCCCATAGTCCGTCGACCGCAGGGAGCGCTCAGAGTCTCGAAGGTCACTTGCTCATAGCATCTGGCCCATTGTTTAGTCCGTCTAGACGGGAGCGCAGAGATGTCTGCGGTGCCAGAGGTGCCCCTGTATCTTGGTGGCTCCTAGCCATCCCCTCAGCTTTTTAGATCCTTTTAGTGTTTAGTGGGTTTTTCCATTTAGCCCACTAAAAGTTAGTCAAACTTTTAGCGGGGGATCTGAGCTTGACTGCTATTGGGTTGGATCTTTAGACTTTAGCAGGGGATCTGAGGGCAGCCCAGAAAAGAGTTGTGGTTCGGGTCCCATGTGAATGGGATCAACCCACATTTTGTCAGGTGGACCAATCTCAAATTCATGCCACAAATCGGCAACTGAAAATGATTGCTTTGGCGGGGACAGACCTCACTTTTGAGTCATCAACCCAAACTTTCATTTAAACATGTCGCATGAAGGGTGAACAACCAGCCTTGAGCTTAATGGCATTGGCAATGTGTCACATCGAGATGGGAAAGACGGGTGAAATTGCAAGGTCTCCGACGATCCAGCCATAGAGCACATAAAAGACACCCCGTGTGTTGCTGATCGGCAATTTCCTTTGCGTTTGAGTTGCCGGGCCAGTGCAGAGGATCAAAGGCAAGGAAAGAGAAAACAACACCCACGCATCAACCAGACGGCCCTTGTTTGTTTGAGGTAAGCCGCAGAGACACTAAAAAGACAGGTCCACCAGATGCCTTCTTCATCCTCCGATGGTTTTGGCTAAAGATCCTTCCATTTGATTTGAACATCTGTTGTATTTGCCTCTTGGCTCAGGGCCTGGGCAAATAGAAGGATCCGAGGGAGCGCTGGAAGGCTCACTAACACAACAAGATCCACCAGTTGCCTTCTGCATCCCCCAACGGTTTTTGAAGCGGAAGATCCTTCCGTTCGTGCTTGGTCATGTCTGGTCTTTTGTTTTGTTTCCCCTTGTTGCCTTTACCTCTTTTTTTTGCCCGGGCGGAAAAGAATCAAATCGAAGGATCCCGGTTGGTTTTTGATAGCGAAGCTTCGCGGGCTTTTTTTTTTTCAGGAGCGCGCCTTTGACGCGATGCTGGAGCTCTCCCTTGAGGCATGGAGACAGCTTGCATCACTAGGTCCCCCAGCCAGGTGCCCTTCTCTCCCCTTTTTTGGGGGGAGGGCTCCCCTACTAAAATAGACTACAGTTGAGCAATTACCCCGCTAGAATCATGTCGAAACTTGGTTTCCAGTTTCAAAGTAGCCCTTGGCCGCATTCCGTGACAGTGCCTGGGGTCTCTATTGAAACCATTCTACGTGTGAGGTTCACTAAATGGCCAGAATTCTACATACGGGTGTGGGCATTTTTTTAGGAGACCGCTGAACATGGGCTTCGGTGTTCCTTTTGGTTGCCTTTTAACAGAACCAACAAACTGGGATCCCTCCAGAAAGATGAGCTCAGGTTAGTTTATGTTGGGGGAGGGGCCAAGGCTGAGCTCGCTTTGAAGATCTCCGCGTGTTGTCGCTCGTGCCAACAAACGGAAAGAGGACTCCATTTAGGTGGCCATCTTTTTTTTTGGATTTGGACCCAGGGATTTTTCGGTTGCCCTGTTCCCGGTTAAAACCAACGAACAAAGCTTTCCCGAGAAAGACAAAGCCATGGTGTCCCAAAGTCTCCGGTGCGGCTGGTTTCCTTCAGTTTCCCTGCGGCGAGGTACCAAGACTTCAGTTTGAGAGGCTAGGTGTAGATGACCCTCTCCCCCAACAAACAAGAGGAAGGCAACCAAATGAGTATGAACTCCGATCAATGTCTTTTTCTCCCCCCCCCTTCCCCCCTCCCCCCGCCCAGAAACAAACGAGGCTAGGTTTGGCCGGGAGCTCGGGCGTCGAAAGACGGCCTCTCTTAGGCCCTGTGGCACCCAGCAACATGATGGCCGTTTGAAAGCTGCTACGATCCTAAGAACCGAAAAAGAAAGAATCCTACCGGCGGGGACGGCTTTCGGGGCCTTCCGCCTGTTCGACGCCCCGGCGCTCGGCGCGCGCGTAGCGCAGCTGGGGGACCTGTCGGTGCACGGCCTCCGTCAGCCGGCTCACGTCGTCCAGGTGCCGCTGCCCCTCCTGGGCCAGCCTGCGCTCCCCCAGCCAGTTGTTGAAGGCCCGCGCCTCCTCCAGCTCCCGCTGGCGCTTCAGCAGCAGCGCCCCCGTAATGCTCAGCGAGCTGCCCGAGACGGCGCCGGTGGACGTCAGCGTGGCTCCGGCGACGGTGCCGGTGGCCGTGAGCGCTGCGCAGGAGATTGCGCCCGAGGCGTCCACGCCCGTCGTGAACACGTCCGTGAAGTTCAGGTCCGTTTTTTTTTGGCCAGCTTTCGTGGTGATTTTTGTTTTTCCGACCAGATCCCTCGCAGTGAAGAATTCCTTTTTGATAAAGTCGCCAGTTTTCTCACAAAAGGTGGCAAAACGACACCCCTGAAGCGGACGGCAAGGAGCGCTTGAGTAGCCTGCCTCTTTCTGGAGAGCTCGTAGGACGGCGAGTCCTTCTTGGCCTCGCCCATCACTGCCGCCTGGCGCCTGGGTGAGTTTCCCTGGCCGTCCATTTGCTTCAGGATATTTGTTATTCTCCCTTGTTGGTTTTAAAGGGAATCTATCACTACTAGAAATATATAGTTTTTGTTTTTGTCAGGGGCTTAAGCAAATTTAATAGAGATGTGAACTTCGATTTATTTGGACCCTACTGGTCAGAGGAGGCTCAAAGTAGGCCATTTCCGTACTAAAGGGGGAAGCCCCTGATTAGTACGGTGCTCCGTTGGCCAATTGCAAGGATTCCACGTAGAATGTCCCCTCATTGCTTCATACCCGAATCTGGGGGCTGGTGCCTATATTTGACCAATGGTTGGGTTTGCTAGGGTAAGGCCTAAAAGTTGTCAACCCTTGCTCGGTTAAGGAGTTGTGCTTGGTTGGGCCACTTCACATAGCAGTTATCTGGTTTTGAACCTGGTTCAAGTAAGGAGGGTTGCTCGGTTGGGAAACTCCCTAGTTGGCTGCGACCTTCGCCTACCGACAGGGGGCTGCGAAGGCAAATTGCCCGGCGTGCGCGTTAGATTGGGCAAATTGTGGGTGTTAGACTGGCTCGGAGCGTGCTGAGGGCGGGTCTTGGTTTGATTTGCGCTTCGTTTCGGCTCGCGGCCTGGTGACTGTGGGCTGCGAAGGTTGGCGTTGGAATTCGCTGGCTCTTAGTACTCTTGGGGGAAGTGACTGTTCTTTTTTCACGGGGTAGCTTGAGAGAGCCACCTCTTTTGGTGCCTACCGCATGTTAACTCGACCTCGGCCATTTGATCACACACCGAGGCTGGCGTGTCCTTCAGCGAGAGGCGGAGAGGGTCGATGGTGGTTGGGGGGCACCCAAATTCGCTGCCTGATGGGCATGCACTTGCAATATTTTTCAATTGGACACCCATTTCCGGGTTGCCAGCCATTTGGTGACCCCCCCAGGGCGCAGGTAGAAGTGTTTTTCGAGGGCCGCCCTTTTTTCCGGTGGGCCGTTTCCAGGTCCGCCTTTTGATTCAGGATCGGTTGTAGAATCGGATGATTCCAAGCCACTTGGAGCAGCCCAGGTTGAGAGTTCCCTTGGGAGAACGACCCCGACGACCGCTTTTTGGGCCACAAAAAGGGGAGAACCGAAAGGGAAAAGGAACCCACCCTTTGGGGTCGGGTGTTTATTCTGGGTTGCTGGCCACAAGCAAATGATCAAAACCCAAGAGCAACCCATGTGCCAGGGTTTCCAATCCCTGAAAGGAATCAAGGTTTCCTCTGAATTGTGGGTCACGCCAAAGGCGTTCCTTCCTTTTTCAGGGTTCCCTATATCCTATATTTCCCTTTTTGGCGGTTTTAAACATCACCTTTTTGGCACATGAAAGGTGAGTGTCCCTTGGTTGGGGTGATGTTTCTTGGGGAATTATAGGCAGGTCTGTTTTTCCTTTTGTCGCTCCAATTTTTCCTCGCGCATGGCTCCCTCACTTCCCCAGTTCCTGGACTTCAGACTTCATAAACCCAGAGGGCCCAAGTAAGGATGGCCGGGGGCGGGGGCCTTTGGGCGGGGGGAGGTCCAAGTACCTCCATGTACCTCCTTAGAGTGTACTTGCAACCTCTGGGAAAGATTGGGAAAGCACAACAAGTTGACTTGTTTTTTTGACTGTTGTATTTCTTGTCTGCTTTTCCTCTCCTCTGATCTTTGCGACCTCGCGAGCTTTCTGCTTGGGGTTTGGTTGGAGAAGTGGATGTTTTGTTCCTCACAAAAGGAATCGGGTTGAGGACCTTTAAGCCAACATACGTCATGTTCATGAGAGAATAAGGTGTGTCATCCGTTTGGTGAGTGGACCCGGTCCACGATCTTTCGTCAGAGGTACACATGTGTTCGTGCGTGCCAAACTGTCGCTCAAGCTATTGTTCGGGCATAGCAACGCGCGGTTTGGACAACTAGATTGACGGCACTTGAGCCTGGAGAGGCTTGGACAGTTGTTCGTTTCTCCAAGTCAGTCTTGCATTTGATCACGCTGGCCAGAAGCGCCGCTGGCAGTGTCATTTGGCTGACGGTGCTGTGCTTAGGGCAGGTTGTTTTGTCTTGAAGTGTTTTCCGGATTGCGGGTGGTCGTGCCCGATCATAGAGGGAATCACCTTTTGCGCTTTAGTACATGGTTTGGTATAGTCTCGCGATTCCTTCTTGCAGGCCTATGCTTTATCCTACATTCAGCGCTGTCTGGTGAAGGAAGTACCGTTTGGGTCTCCTGGTCCGCAATCACTCTTGCATCTCAGCCTGCATGGGACCTGCTCACTTTGTGGCGGGGCTTTTGGATTTTGGAGTGTCACAAGAAGGGCCGTCTGCATTGTGGTGGCAGTGGACATCAACCGGTTTTTGGTTCCTCCCGCCAGTCTCGGGCGGACCCATTTGGCCATGGGTCAAACTCCCGTACCCCCAGTGAACATCCCAATCCCCATTAAAGTAGACTAAAATGGGTGGTGCACCTACCCCAAAATGGGATCCCATTAGTTTTGACCCGCAGCCATTTGGGATTCCCAAAATGCCAGAGTACCTTCCGGCAGGCTGTCCCCCTTCGCAGACATGGAGTGACGGCTGCGCGACACCTCCGCGCGGAGGCGCGGCGGGCCGGATTCTTGTCTTTAAGTCCCAGACGCGTGGATTGCTCCCTGTGCTCAACCTTTTTTGGAGGGAGCCCTTGAACATCTACCAAACAAGACTTGCCCCTTGTCGAATTGAACAACGGAACAAAACCGCGGGTCGGCGCATTGCTCGGCACAGATGCAAGACTTGAGAGCTGCGCAAGTTTGGCGTTGAAAGAATCTTCGGTGGCAAGTCCACGCACCAGGCTGTTGGAAACAGTTGCACTAGACGCAAGGACGCAAGGCAGCTCATGCCATGAATTACTTGCAAGTTAGCAAAACTCAGCCTTGCCGGAAGTTGTAGCTTCGGCATACTTCTTGAATGCGAAGGCCTTTCGTCTGAAAGCAACACTCGGCGGTGACTTATTATCAGGGTTGCGCACTTCTGCCGCCAGATATGTTAGTGTGTTCCCTTCGCGAGCAGCGTCCAGGCATCATGTGACTCAGCCCAGATGTGTGGCATCCGATTCTGTCCATAGGACAGCGCACTGAGAATGCGCTGAGAGCGCGCTAGTTTTAGTCCATGTTGCCATTTGCCAGGGTTCCATTGGGCTACCAATTTTTGACCCACAGCCCAACCTCCAAGGAATAGTAAAACCGGTGTCTACAAGTGAGCGACTAACTTTATTTACCTTAATGGAAACATGCAAGGGGCTGGAACCATTTTTTGGAAATGTGCATATTTAGCCGCAGAACGAGTTGGGGAACACCCCGAAAACGAGATAGGGCAAACAAGCATGATAACATGGATTAGGATGACATTTTGGCAAGTGCAGCCTGGCAGAGCGTAGACGACCTACGTCGCGTGGTCCGTGGCAACTTACCACAGACTTTCCGGGGCAAGTGCTGGCCAACCCTACGATGCCTAACTGCAAAAGGCTGTGAAGCAAACTTGCGAAGAAGCAGCGCAGCTGGTTTGTTCAAGATTTGCCCCTGGGCAATTTTCAGCCGTCCAAAAGCGGGCCATGTTAAAACGAGTTTCAAAACGAGTTCAGAACGAGTCCCCTACAGCGTCCAAGTGAGTATTGGCCCAGTTCCTCCTCTCAAGTATTACTTTTCAACAAATTGTGTAGCAGCAGTTTGCTTAGCGAAAGGTTGTGCGGCAACAACGAAGGAGACAAAGGAGGCTGCAAGCTGACCAAAGCTCGTTTACTTCTTTAAGCTCCTCTTCTTCAAGCTCTACAGAAAGTTGAGCCAGATAAAACGAGCGCGGTGTTGGAAAACGAGATAGGGGGCTGCGACCGAGCGCGGGGTTGGAAAACGAGTCAGGAACACCCGTCCATTATGCCATGTAGCAAATAAAAGCCGTTGCTCAAATAGCTTCTCGTGGGACGCGGGCCGAGGCAGAGAGGATCCGAGGCGTTTGATCCGCTTGTTTAAAGTCTAGCTTGTAAGATAAGTCCGGGTGCTTACTTGTGCGCACCATCGAACGTTGCATGACAAATGTTACCAAGACAGCATCAGCCATCTAGAAAAAACGCCATCTCGTTTCAGCCTGTGCAACTAAGGGTAGGCGGTTGGTGTGGTCGGCGCAGCCAGGCACAACTTGTATTTGCAGGTAGTACACTAAGAAGCAAGACCTTTTGAGGTAGAATAAGTAGTCAGTCTTTACGACAATCATAGCAAGGGACGCAGAGCCCTGCGCAGATGATGTTAGGCCTTCACAAGCCACCTGTCAGCTGCCATGATTGTTGAATGGAGGGGACGATGGTCACAGAAATGCGAAGGCTTCTTAGCAAAAGAAGACCATAGGCGAAACAGCACAAGAGAAAGCGTTTGGTTACTTTCTTTGGGCCATCCGAGGAAGTCAGAAATATGGACCAAAGGCACAAACAAGCAAGTTTGCTTCTTGCCTCACCCCAAAAAGGACAAATCTCTCTTAAACCAACATGGCCGGGCGTGTTGTTTTTGGCTTTTGGACCCGCAACTATTGCCCCCAATTGGTCAGGTCCCGCTGCTTGCGCGGGTATTGCCCCCTTTGGGGCCCTTTTACCTTGAATCCAGGGCTTGGGTTTGCTGGTAGCCTCTCACCAAGGTCCTAGTTTGGACCAGTCTCCTTTTAAAGTGAGCCCCGTTTACGTCAGGGTTCCATGTTTGTTGGTGGGAAGGTAAACCAAAAGGAGACCGCCCCCGGGTGCTTCGTTTGGTACGTTTAAAGCCAACATCACAAATTTGCCACAGAAGCTCCGTCAGTTCCAAAGTCCCCCCTGCGCCAAAAAGTCATCATTGATTCTGTTTGGTTCAGGGCTCAACTTGCCATGGTGTTGATTTTGGTTGTTTTTCCGGCTTCTGGCCTTTCTTGCCTAACTTTCATCTTTGATTCTGTTTGGTTCAGAGCTCAGCTTCCCACGGTGTGGCTTTTGGGTGTTTCCCCGGCTTGTGGCCGTCCTTGCTGTTTGTGTCTCCCTTGAGAACTCTTTTGTGCCACAGGGCGCCTTTCCCCGTAGGAGCATGACAGCTACCGTTGGCTGGGTGAAACCCTTGTGGAGGTGGCGAATGTTGGCCGACGCCACTAGAACCGCAGCTCTGTGTGAGTGTGTGTGCGTGTGTCTGTGTTTGAGGTCAGGTACCATTTTTTTAGGTGAGCCACAATCAAAACCTGGGTAGATAAAGGTTAGTAAGGCGCAGTCCCAGGAAAAGAATCCGGGCGGCCGCCTTGACAAATATATCCAGTATATGCATAAGCAAAAATGAATATCGAGTATCCTTTTAAATCTTATAATTAGTACATATGTCCATGTATATACAGTATGAAATATAATATAGCCAAAACCTAATGATCTGCATTATCTATTCAATTTTGTCATGTACAATATATAATCATGTTCATATCCATATTGTAACATGAATGCAATACCCTACTGTCGATGGACGACATCCTGCACCAAGTTGAACCACACCAAACCATTATTTGTTGGTATTTACGGTACAGGGGAATCATCATTCCAGGGTTTCTTTCGTGGTGCGAAATGGACTTCGTCCATCCACAGTATGATCGCAGCACCTACTGCTCCTTCATTCAAATCACCAGGTGTTGATCAGCAGCCCGCCGGCGGTTATCTCCGAGAAGGTTTTTCCGGAGGAGAGGCTGCTTTGGGCAGTGGTCCTGGAAGCGCCAAAAGCACTCCGCACTTTCGTTTTCTTCACCATGGCTTTGTGTTTTTGGAGGCTAGCTTTTTGGGGCGGTTTCAAAAGGGAACCAAAAAGAAACTCACGATTTTGAGGGCTTCCCCAATTTTGAGACAGACCCACATAGCTGCAAAAAGCACAACTATTTGTAACTTACAAAGCTATACTGTGGGCCCACAGTAGCGCGTACATCCTTGCGCAGAGGCTGTTTACGAAAACGTTTGCCGACCATCTTGCTGACAGAGCTTCGTCTGGGGCATTTCATCCAGCACATGTTGCACAAAGTTGACATGAATAGAGCTTCTTGCACAGAGCGTGCTTGAAAAGGGAGCGCGCACAGAACAGCTTTGGAGCTGCGAGACAAGAGCACTTTGCGCAATGCTCGCTTGAAAGGCGCAACTCACGCTTTTCCATGTTATACATAGTTCGAATACAAATTATATAAATATGTATATATATATATACATGTATCATATATATATATATATATATATGTATTTGCTCCTCCCCCCTCTCCTCCCCGCCTCGCAAACATATGCTATGATTTGCAGGTTTTTGCGGAAGGAGGGAGTCAGCATACTGGACTATCCCTTTTGAGTCTCCACACATAGTGTTTTTGTCCCCATGCACGCTTGGTAGCGTAACCATATATTGGTATTTAGGGTTGCAGCGTTCGTGTTGCATGCGCCGGCATGTAATAATTTCCTAGTCTCCCTTAAGGCCCCCCGAAAAAAAAAAAAAATGTTTGCTTTTGGGCCCGCAACATTTGTTGTTGTCTCTTGGCCCCAGAAGGGTTCTGGTTCTTCACAGGGACAATTCTAAACGCCCAGGCGTGGCGCCAAAGATCGCAACTTTCAAGCGCGATAGTCGGTAGCTTACATGTCCATTCTTTTCAGGGATCCGAATCTTTCCAGAAAACCAGCAAACAACCTGGGGTAGCAGCTGGTTATTGAAAAGAACGATGGTTGAAAATATTTGACGATCCCAACCAGAAATAGCTGCGGCCGCCTTCTAAATTCTTTACATGGTTCCAGGTAGACCAGTTTAATACCGGGTTTTGATTGTGACTCAAGTGCCTTTTCTTTAAGGCGAAGGTATCACTCACTGCAGCTGCGCTCTCGAGAGCTGGAGCTTGCGCGAGGGTTCGCCTGTTTTGGGCGGAGCTCGGTTTTTTTTGTGGGTTTCAAGGGGAAACCGGATGGAAGACCCGCCATTTTGTTTTTTTTTTTCTCCCAAAAAAACAAGGAACGCCCAAGACATGGGGCCTCTCTCCTTTTTCCCCAAGACACGCGTTCAACGGCGCGTCGACCTCAGGATTTGGTCCTTGAAGGAAGCGCACCTCTGGGCGACCTCTGGCGATGCAGGCGCCCACCGGGCGCCCAGAGTCTTATTCTGTGTCTTTGTAGGTTAGTTCTTGGTGCGCAATAGATGGGTTCCACTGGTTCATATAATATTGGAATTATGCCCCATTCACTGAAAGACACCTATGACAATTCTCCACTACCCCACGGCTCAAATCACAGCCAGAGGTTGAATGGGATATACAACCACCATATACCCACTATAAGGCACACACCAGGTTTTCCTTTGGGGGTAGTGGATTGCGGACACCATCTTAGACGTATGGCCACTTAAATTGCGGTTTTCCTGGTGTTCCCAATAAACCCACCAAAACAGGGGTACCAGCTCCAAAAACAGACACACCCTTGTGGCCGTATGCCAAAACGAGTTTCACCTTTACGCTTCTCTCGGAGTTGTGTTGCAGTGCCACAGTGCCTCCCGGTTTATGTTGATTCCTCTCGTTGCGCAAATCTTGCTTTGCAGTGCTTTGGTTGGGGATGGCATGCGTTCCTGCCTTGTGATTGTGGAAAGAGTCTTTCCGCGCAGCCTCTCGGTCATCCGGCATGAGACAGCCTTGATACTCCCGGGTGAGTTCACACATACCATAGAGCCGTGTTCCCCAAAAGGAGACTCCCCGAATATTACGACGGGTTTTGGGTTTCGGCGTGAACATTTGCAGGGGAGTACTCAGCCATTTACTACATATGTTCCAAGTGCGCTCCTCCTCTTGTGGCACAAGTTCACAGCACATGCGGGTGGCGACATGCATGCCATGTGAGACGCATGACAGCATGCCATTAAGGATCCTGACGAAGCGGCTACAGGGAATTGACGTGCACCTATCATTTCAAGGAGGGTACCCGAACACAGCAACAAAAACACCTGCTCAACTGTCCCTCTCATGGATTCCTTGTCTTGTCAGACAGCCACCCCACGAAAAGACATCATCCCTAGAAGTTCAGAAGCTGCCTTGGTCACAGGGCGCAGTGCTCACCTCTCACCCCGCATCGACCCATACAACATGGGATGGCTCGGAGCGAAGATGTTGAGCTTTCTGCCATTTCGACCAGGGTTGTGGGATCAAGGGGTTTCTCCCCACTTCTGTGATACGAGGGAATCCCCCTTTATATGAAGAAAATAGTATCACAGAAGTGGTCATTCCCCACAGCCCTGATTTCGACCATTAGGAACAAAGGGGTTCAGCAAATCAAAGGATTCACCCTCATCCATGGTGTTGGTTTCCTTTCCCCGGACCCACACGTACCAAACTCGCTGTGGCCTGTCGAGGATTTGTTGGTCATCCCCTGGACACCCGGAAACACCCTGATTGCTTTGTGGCAGGTGCCAAATGATAAGAGTACACATATCCAATGATGTCCATAGCTTCATCCAGTAACTTAGCTCAAGTATCGGCATTCTCCCACGCAGTCGTGGTTTTGATGCACTTTGCTGCATCGGCATACTGCATGGGCATATGTTAAATATGTGTGATGAGATGAAAATATGAAGAAGCCTCATTGGGAAACATTTTTCCGAAACCGGCAGGCAGCATAGGTGCCTTGATCAGGCATCCACGTCCGCGGCAACATGAATGCCGTCGCGACGCTTGCGGCCATCAGTGAGAAAGATGTGCGAGCTACCCTCTTCCCAAGGTGTCTCTCAATACAGTGGATGGACGAAATCCTGCACCTGAGAAACCCTGGAATTGTGATTAAATAATGGTTTACCGTGGTTTCAAAGTGGTGGGAAATGGATTTCGTCCATCCACAGGCTGAGGAGCCAAGCTTTCCTCCAAAGTTATCAGACCATGGACAGTTGCTTTTGACACTCAAGGCAGTAGCTTTGTCAGACGGCTTAAACTTATGATACATACATAGAGCTTCTTCAAAAGCGATCAGTCCTGTTGGATTTGCAAGCTGCAAACTTTGCCTTTCACTCAATTGTTCATGGTATGGTGATATCCCGGGTTGGTTGATTCCACAATTGCAAGCCGGACAACAGAATGCTGCCCTCCCACCAACAAACATGGACTTGCAAATACTTTGGAAGAGCACTTTCCATTTGGAAAGGGCCTGGCAACTGTGCATCAACCTCTTTTTTGGGGAGAAGGTACCATGCTGGTACGATGCCATTGCCAGGATTCGTGGAATCCACAAGAACAGTCCGCCACAAAGCAGGTGTTTTTTGGAGTTTAACAGTTGGGCAGGTTCGCAGAGCATGCTGTCGTTGATTAGCACCATTGATTTGCATGTATCTTTTTTGGGGGGACCCCCAAAATGGTGGCTCTCCTGTTGTTTTCCCTTTAAAAGCCGCAAAAAAGGAGACCCGTATTTGCATATTCCTAAGACTTTTCCGCGCCCAAATCGTTCCTCCTCTTTGAACCACCGAGGTCTAGACCACCCTTTTCAACTGGTTTCAACCATGTCTCCCTTTTCCCCATGCCTTATATTTCCTTCGGACCCTTCGGTCTCTATGGACGTTTTTTTTGTTTTGTTTTTTTTTGTCTGAGAAGAACAACAGGTCAATGTTGTATGGATTTGAAGGGGAAGGTTTTTCAACGTTTGAGAAGCATCCAGTAGCTGTCAGCAGAGAAAGATCAGTTGCTTGTAGAGAAATGCAGATTCCAGGACCGCCAATTAACATGGAACCTGACGTTCGGGGGTCCCTTTAAAAGGAAGATGGTCCAAACCAGGACCCTTTTACGGGGCTCCTTAAAAGATACATTTTGAAACCAGTTGAAACATGTTTCTTTTTTAACACCAAAATAAAGGTTGAAACCACCATTTACAAGGCAATGTTCAGGTGTGTAATGTAAGGATCCCTGAATTTTGCGTCAGGTTCCACCAGCCGTCGATTTTTCCAACGCCTTCAGTGCAGGTATTGTGGCCGGCATGGGCCGTGCGGAGGCTGGGAAGCAGCACGGCGCAGAGAAGGCGTGGCTCAAGCGCGCAGGGATTTCGGAAATCTGGGTTGCACTTTTCAGGGAAACCAACTAGCAGGGATATAGGGGGAACCAGGGATACAGGAGGATTCCCCCCAAATGCACCTTGGCTAAGTTTGATATGGGAAATGGCGCCAAAATCATACCAACGTGTTCTTTTTTTTACTGGTTTCCAATCCAACCAACACTCTAAGCATACCAGCCCTTTTGCTGGTTTCCAGTCCAGGAGCCCTAAGCATTTGGAGCGCCATTCGGTGTGACGTCCTTTGGTTGCGCCCCCCGCGCTCCCTCGCTCGAGGTGGAGTCCTGGTTTAGGGACTATGACGCAGCGCCGCCTTGCGTGGAGGAGGACGACGAGAGGCGGCTCGGTGCACAAACGCACGTTGGGGACGGGGCGGGTAGAAGTGTGGGGAAAACGGGTTTGGGTTTCGCTTCAAGGGGGAGGGTATTCCAAAGATACAAACATTTAGAAAAGGTAGTCTAGGTCCCCCAGCAGTGCCCTATCTCAACCTTTTTTGGGGGAGGGTTCCCCTACTAAAATAGACATCCAGAAAAAAGTTGGTACCCTTATTCTAACTCCTCTCTACTGGAGGACCTAGTAGAGAGCATACTTGGGTGGACAAAAAGCCCGCACCAGGCATCAGTTGGAAAGAGGATAAATCACCTAGTGCAGGATTTGGTCCACCCTCAGGGCAAACATAATTGTGTATTTCTTTTTCGGGTGATACGCTCCCCAAAACCGAAGATACTCCCTGAAATCAGGTCCCTTTGCCCTTTGATTCGGAAGCTCCTCGGATGACCTCGCTGTTGTTGGGCCACATAGATAATTGGGGTCATTCCCACATCTCGTTCCCTCCTGAGTACCAGTAAGTCAGCAATGGCGCTCACCTGAGGTTCGGGTAGGGCCAAGCTGATTAGCATGGAGAGGTTACTACACCAACTTAAGGCATGAGAGGGAATCAGGTAAGTAATGCCTCAACAGTACATGTTTTTGTGAAGATCCCGAGGCAAAGGGAGTCAAACTTATCAATTATTTGTGGGTTTTTCTCCAGGAGCCTTTTGGGTGAGCAAGCCGATTCAGCCAAGATATGTGCTTAATCGATCTAACGCTAGAACCTCTATTCCGGCCTTACGGAAGGACCTCCGCTCAGTTTGGCAAGATCTATTTTCCTTGCAGGAAGTCAGGTCTCTCTCTCTGATCATGCCCGAAATGGTTTCAGGATTGGCCAACCCCGTTTTGTGAACTGCTCGGGCTGATGCGTGTTGGTCACCTCTGAACATCCTACGTGTTTTTTGTTTGGGTCGCGCGCGCGCGCGGAGACATGGGAGGAAGGGGAGCCTGCGATGTGGTAATCTTTCCTGAGTCTCCCAGCAGTGGGAGCTTCCCTTCCTATCAGGGTTGTGGGATCAAGAGGTTTATCCCCACTTCTGTACTTCTGTGGTACAAGGGCATCCCCTCTTGATATTGAGGGGTTAGTCTTTGGGAGGCCCTTTTTGTAGTATCACAGCGAGTTTCATTCCCCACAGCCCTGCTTGGTATGAATATCATTTACGGACCTGGGGAGATCTCGGCATGGCTCTTGCCCGTGCCATGTGTTTCTCGCCCCCGAGGAGTCGGTTGCCAGAAGAAACCTTGACATTGGAAAGGGAGAGAACCCATCCGACTCTTTGGTCCAAAGCGACCAAAGCGGGACTCTAGTTTCGACATGGTTCGACCCCGTGCGTTCCAAGCATGCATTCTGATCCATTGTAACCCATTTGCACATCCTTAGGAGCAAACACCGTTTCCGTGATAAGCAACAAGTCAAATTGGGTGTTCTCTTTTGCCAATCTGGAAATTAGATAGATGGGATACTCTTGGCTTGAAGTCTAGTGGAAGGCATTCAAGACTCTTGGGTATGTTATATCCCCGATATGAGGGGACTAACCCCAGTTACCCCACTTGCACGGGTGCGTCATTTTTTGAGGGTACCCCTTTTTCCAGTTCGTGGATTTCAAAAGGGAACCACAAGTAGTCACATGGTTATAACCTACTTAGTGCCTGGGGTTTAACACCCATTGCAATAATGGTTGACCCAATGATGAAGATTCTCAGGGAAATGGTGATCATACTGTGGATGGACGA